ATGACCCAACACAAAAGATCATGAATAAAGATAGTCTAATGGGCAATGAGGTAATAGTGAGCCCTACGTGGTCGCCTGTTGCCATACCCTGGGCGGGCTCTATATAATAGTTAGACTATGCTTGCTAAAATTAGCTTATAAGCTAGCTTATAGCTTATCAATAAGTTTCGAGCATATAGCTTATAGCTTATGACTTATAACTGAAAAGCTATCTTATATGTTAAAAGTATTTGGTAAAATTAGCTGATAAGCAAGCTTAAATAAAAATTGCAACGAGCTTATTTGAAAAGCTACCTAAAGAAACTCATGAGATAAGCTCGATCTTTTTAAAAAAGCTCGCCTACCAAACGAAGCTTATTTAAATAAAGGAAGCCTATAAGCTAGCCAAATACGCTATGAATCGACTAGTTTTCTTACCAAATATAGTCGTAATCTATTTCATAATGTATCATAGATTTTAATATTTGACCAATCAAATGTTCTATGTGAGTTGTTTGATTAATAGATGTTTAGATTAAACTTAAATCAAAATTGTGAATTATCGTTTTTTGCCTAAAGATGATTGCATATCTTGAACTTTTATAGTTAATTATATTTATTATTGATTGTATATAAATTACTTCACATTCAAAATATTAATTAACGTAAACAATTGACGAAACCGCTCTCCTCACGAAAACCCTATTCCCTAAATCAGGAAGCTTCGTAGCCGTAGTTGAGCCTTTACCCCCTCTCTGCTGCACAATCCAAGGCGCCATGGCGCCGGCCGTCACCAGCCTGAGCTGCTCGTCCCATTAGGAGTCGTCGCCCCTTCCCCGATGTAGAGCTTCGCCGCACTTGCCGGTCGTCTATGGGTGGTGGAGCGGGTTCTGGTTGGCGCCAAATTGGGTCGATCGGTTGGTCCCAACCTTCTCCGGTGAGGGGATCGGGGTTGAGGTATCGTCCTTTTCTCCCTTTTTCTTTGTTTCCCGGTGATGTTGGTTGGTGGGGGCTGGTTGTGTCTCAGTGGGTTTGGGATGTGGTCTCAGTCGGTGGTTGGGATGGGATCGTCGGTCGGGAGTTGGGGAGAAGGAGTTGTCCTCTGGTGTTGGTCTAGGGGCTGCCGTTCAGGAGAGGAGTTTGGTCCGATCGCAGTTCCAATTAGCCGCTTGCTGGAGTTTTTGGTTCAGTTTCTTGGATTGGATTTCTTTCCCTTGTGCGGACGTTTCTAGGTGTCGAGCCAGGAATTGTTGCGGATTGTCTGCAGCCGAAAGGAGGGTGTTATTCTAGTATGTGGTATTATTAGTGTTTTGTGTTGTGTAGTGTTTTGGGTTGCCTTGTTGGCCTTTTGTTTTATTCTTCTGAGTAGAAGCTCGATTCTCCCGTATGGGACTGTTTCGATTCTCCCGTATGAGACTGTATAGTTTGTCTGTTTGTAGGTGCGTTAGTGTAGATCTCTAGATTACCATTATGTGTGCGTCCCTTAGATTCAGCTGCATGACTGCTTGCTATTCTTAGTTGTAATTATGTGTTTTTATCAATCTAATCTACCANAAAAAAAAAAAAAATAATCAACAATTGATGGTATTTTTTATTGCAACATAAATTTAATATATTTACTGATTAAAAAATATGTACATCTACTAATTTCAAATTAATTACTGTTGTTAAGCTGAAATATTATTTTTTTATTCACCAAATTCATCATATAAACATTTATTAAAAAAATTGTATCTAGTACTAATCATTTAATGTTTTGTTACTTCTTTTATATCACTAGTACAGAGCCCGTGCGATGCACGGGGTGCACAATTTTAAGGCTATTTATCCAGACTTATAATTATATACATGAATAAAGAAAAATATACGGGATATATATAATACGTGACCGTGCAAAGCACAAGATATATTTATTTGAAAAATATTATATTATAAGACTCAATATTCAATAAAAGTTTATAATACGTAAGAAAATTGTACAATGTTCAATAAAAGTTTTATAATATTCAAGTGGAGTCTTAAAGTCTCTTGTACATTAAGACTACTGACAAAATAATATTTTAGTCAATGAGTTTTCATTCCTTGTAGCCAAATTGTGAATGTGATTTGAGGAGTACAACAAATCGATATGTAGCTGACTTGCTTTTTTCATTGTAGTTTTTTTTCTTTTCTTTTATAATGAATTTAAAGATATTCTAAAATATAGCAAAAATTAATTTTTTTATTACAATTAGGAATTTTACTAAATATAAACTCTCAATCTATGGTGTTAATCAACGTTTAAGTCTAAAAAATTAGGAATTTTTACCTCTTTTAATCAACGTTTAAGTCTAAAAGACAATAGTGTTATTATAAGTTTTTTTTCTACATCTTTTAAAACATTAAATATGAGCATGTTAGGGCTAGCTTGTAAAATAATTAATATATTATCTCACTAAAATATTTATACTAATAAAAATTTAATTTTAGCATATAAATTTATCCCTTGATATAAGAGAAGGTAACAGTTTTACTTATTCTTGTTCACCATATAATATTTAATTATTATTTTATTATATAATAAAAAAGAAATATTGTTAAATAGTGTAGTAGAATTGTTATAAAATTATATGATTTTTTTTACAATATGGATTTAATATTTTTTTTTATGATTTGATAATATAAACAAATCTATACTTAACTTTGACAAATAAAACAAATAAATACTTTAATAAGTATTTAATGTATAAACTAAATAGGAATATATTTGATAAAATCAAATACCAAATATAATCAAATAAGTCAAAATGTACATTTTTATTTGGTATTTAATTTTTTATTATCAATTTTTTTTATTATACTTACCTTTTTAAAATAAAACAAATAAATAAATCAATTAGATAAATAAAATATTATAATACCAAAATAGTAATGGTATTTAATGTAGTTGACTTTTCTGGATAGTAAATATAGTAAATAGAATCTCTTTTTATATAAGTATAGATTGTATAATACGGAAATAGTAATACAATAAATGTTGTTGACTTTACTTTATACTAAATCTGGTAAATGATATACCTTTTAATATAAGTATAGATAGATTAATCCACTTCGATCTTGAATTATTTGTCAGCACCTTCCTATGATTAGCTAATAGAATATAGTAATGTAATACAATATCCTATCAATTATCACTTAACATAAAATCAATATCAATTATCAGCTAATTGTCAAATAGAGTCATGTACATCTCTTAACTCCTGTATAATCACAACAAAAACAAATTCATGTAGGGTCAAGAAAACCAAAATAAAATTCAAACTATGTTATCTTTGACTATGTAATGTAATCATAAGTATATCTTTCTTTTTGGATAAAATGTTTATATCATACTTTGAAAAATTAATATAACAACTTGATCTAATTCAAAAAGTTAGATATTTTACAATAAGTATATTCTTTTCGTGCAAAAGGTATGTCCAAAAGAAAATTAATTTATTTGTTCATCCTATCATATTTTATAATAAAAGAATATACATATTTTTATTATAATTGTTAAAACATCGTATTATTTTTAATTAAATTGTGTGTATTCATGAAGAATATATATATACATATATATAATATTTAGAAAATAAATGGATATAACATTTTCATATAAACTTTACTCTTTATCAAATAATATTTTTAACTCAAAATTAATATTTAATATATCTAATATTTAGAAAATGAGAAAGCCCGGGAAAATGGGCGTGGTTTGAGCAACGTCAAGTCTACGTCTGGCTGCTGTATTGCGCTGTCGCGATGTGGAGCCCGAAAAGTCCTGGTAAGGAGCGTCGGGATTTGAAATTCTGAATCTCCCACTTGCGCACAACGCAGTTGCGTTACACTCGCGGATTAGTTGCTGACCAAGCCAACTTGAGCTAATCATCCCTAATTCAGTTTTTATTTACTCTGATCTCTCCAAACTAGCTGATAATCATCCCCTAATTACAAATCCTCGTGGGAAAAACGTACATTATCAAATTCATTAGTTCAACATTTAGGCAGATGATCTGCCACGGTCAAAATTTCCATGAATATTTCGTTCCAAAAGAAAAGAAAAAGGAATAAATAAATGTTGCGTTTTAATTCTAATTGGTTATTTATAAAAAAAAAAAAAGAAAAAAACAAATGTATGTTAATCATTTTCATTGTGTATTTAGCCAACAGCATCAATTTATTTTTAAATCCCATCTTTATTGAATTAATTTTAGTTTAATCCCTACTAAAATATAATCAGTGTGAACTTATCAATGCTTCTTTTAAGGGTTTAAAACTTTTTGCCATCCGAACTATGACGATTTTGGCGCATCACCATATCAACAATTTTTTTTTACAAACCACCACCTGAAATATACGGGTTTGTCAAATTGCCCCCTACACCGGATAAAAAAGTGGTTTTATCTAAAAAAGGCTGATTTTTAAGGGCATTTTGAGAAATTCATATATTTTTTAAAAAAAAAAAATGAAAAATGAAAAATCCCTAATTGCGTTGGAAATTCAGACCCTGCGGAGGAGCCGGTCGGTCGCTAGGCTGGTCGCGATGTGGTCATCGGATACTCGAACGTGGGTTCAACGGCCCGCGGTGGAAGAAAGAGGGTCGCCGGCGGCTTCTGTGCGTGGACAGGCTTCGCCGGGAGGAGTGTCGACTGCTCGTGGGGAGGAGGACTCGCCGGTGGACGTCTGCGAGTGGCCAGCGAATGGCGGAGGGTGGCTCGCCGCTAGGTTCCTGCGCGTGACTGAGGACGGCGACGGTGATCTAGCGAGGAAGAAGGGCTCGTCGGTAGATGTTGTGCGAACAGGGGAGCGGCGGAAGTTGGTCGCCGGTTGCTGCTGATCGCGGTGGAGGGCTCGCGGCAAGGAGACGGCTCGGCTTCTCGACGCGTGAAGAAGGAAGACGATGATGATGGTGATGGCCGGACTTTACGAGAGGAAAAAGGACGAGATTTTTTTCTTTCTTTTCTGTTCTGCGTGAGATCGAGGGGGTGAGGGTGGCGATCGGATTTCGGGCGAGAGAGAGAAAGGAGACGATTTTTCTGAGTTAATTGAGCGAGATCCGATTGATGAAGAAAAGGGGTATTTTTCTTTTTTATTTTCCCTGTCAATAAGAAATCGCTATTTGTTCTTCATTTTTTTTCATTTTTCTTTTTTTTTTTAAATATATGAAATTCCTGTAATATCCTTAAAAATCAGCTTTTTATAGTGAAAACCACTTTTTTATCTGGTTTAGGGGGCAATTTGACAAACTCGTATAGTTCAGGTGGTGGTTTGTAAAAAAAAATAGTTGATATGGTGATGCGCCAAAATCGTCATAGTTCATATGGCAAAAAGTTTTAAACCCTTAAAACTAACTACTCTATATACAAACATTTCAATCCTCAAACTCAATTTTAGTACTGCATTAAGGCCACTTATATACGCTTTGTATGATTAAACGGGATCAGTCCATCAATCCGGCCGCAATCCATTATTTGTATTCATGGACGCCAACCCCCAGAATATATCATGACTCATGGCTCGTGATTGCTTTAAAGCTTTGTATGATTAAACGGGATTAGTCCATCAATCCGGCTGCAATCCATTGTTTGTATTCATGGACGCCAGCCCCAAGAATATATCATGGCCCGTGATTTCATTAGAGTTATCCTTGAGGAAACTTCACTCTGGCTGGTAGCAGTAGGTAGAACCTCAAAACAAATCCATTCCAATCAATTTTCTTACCACAATCCATTCATTGTCAAAATAACAACAGAAATTACCAACGGATTAACCAACGGATCACCAATGCATTATATATATAATCTTTTTATACATATTTACGTACAAAATACTAACAAAATATTGCAATGAAAAAATATTTCCTTTTATTAAGTTGGAAAATAGCAACAGAAACCTTCTATTAGTAAACACCAACACATTTGCAACGTAATTACAACATACTAGTGCGTGGCTCGTGCGATGTACGAGAAAACAATATTACGATTGTATTATAAATTAAATATATAAATAACATTAATCATGATTTATTCATTGTTTTTAAATTAAATCGGGATTAACCGAGAACCGGTTTATAACCAGTCTAGTTCGTTTGAATAAAATATTTGCTCTCGAATCCGTCAACACCAGTCGGTTGGACTGGTAGGATCGATACGATTTTTTAAATAAATATTGTTATATTTAAAATTATTTTAAATCAAATTCCATATTTAAATAAAATAGAGATTTATAAATTATTTATCAATTAGTTTAAATATTTGAATTTATAAATCTTTAGATATCTAAGTAACACATTTTATTTAAATTTATTACAAAAAGTAATCTAAGTAACACATTTTATTTAAATTTATTACAAAAAGTACAACATATATGTATATTAAAATGTTTATAAATTAAAATCTGAACAAAATTGCAAATGATTTAATAAAATAACTTGACCGTTTCGATGACGGTCCAATTATGAAAACCTTATATTTACTGTATATTAATAAATATTATAATAAAATATTATTTAATTCACATAAATATTAATAAAATGATATATAAATATTCATAAATCATTAAACGTGTTGTCATAAAAGTATTGTTAATACGATTATTTAAAGTTTGGACTACATCACATTCACGTAATAAAATATTTTCAATATAAAATTTATATTTAGGTTCAATAATCGATTTTGTGTGGTCGAACTGATACATAACTTAATCATCTGGGACCAACCAAGGTGTGTCAAGTTTTTGTCTACTTTAAAATCACCTAAAAGTGATCCAATCAACCTGGGCAGTACCCTAATTCAATCATCCTATTGATCCCGAAGAAATTTTCTTATTTTGTTTAAATATATTTAATTTTATGAAATAAAAATATTTTATGATTCATATAATAAATGTCTATACCAAATGATAGTATATTAAGATTATAAAATATATATATATATATATATATGAATTAATTATTTTTACTTTATGCATATTAATAAAAAATAAACATAGTAATTTTTAAAAAATTAAGATTAATTGATTGATTATGCAATTTAAAGAATATGTTTAGCGTTCAATATTTTTTTAAAGGCACAAATATAAAGATCGAGATTCTAAAACTTTTGTTATATTTTGAATTGAGATTTTATAAATATAGAGACCGAGATTTTAATGTTGTTCGTTTAGGGTTTAATAATCTTAGCTGGATTTTTTAAATAATAAAATGAACTAAAGCCCGAAATTTAAGGTAGCATTTAATGTTGTATGATTTTTAAACAAAAAAATAAGAAAAGTAGTAAAAATTACTATTTATAGGCTGCATTAAATTCTGATCTATTTTTTTGCTACTATTTTTAGTAAATGATAATTCTTATTATATATACATAGACTTGTACATATTGTATTAACAATGGAATATTTTGTTGCTAAATAGGAATGGAAATATTCGGTTGGTAAACATCAATAGAATTGTAACGGATTTGTTCATAATAATATAAGAAATGAAAAATTCGTTGCTATTTAGCAACGGAATGATTTCATTGCTATTGGCAATGGATTAGCAACAGAATCAATAGAAAAAAAAAATAAAAAAAAACACTCTTATCAACGGAAACTTTCCGTTGTTAAATAGCAACGAGATAATTTCGTTGCTATTTAGCACCGAAATT